CGAGTCTATATTACGGACCTATAGGAGCAAAAGGAAATCTAAGGACTTATAGGGAAAGAGATTATAGAAAGAATTGTAGTTAAAGAGGTAATTAGGGCTAGGAACGAAGGTAAAGGGGTAATCAAGCTGTTTATAGCATAAGAGCAAGACAAAAAAAAGCTAGAAATACAAAAAGAATAGACAACTAAGATAGGGAAAATAGCAAAGGTCTCCTAATAGCAATTTATAATTATAGCCTATAGTATAATAAGAAGCTTTAAGGAAGAATAGGATATTAAGAGCCTATAGAGACAAAACCAAGCTATATACCTAGGCCTAAAGATTACAAAAGTAGCATAGATTAAAAGGAAAATCGAAGAGATTAAGAAGCAGTCTTCCCTAATTATCTAGGTAGGGAGTGTAGAGCAGGCTAATATAGTGCTAGACTAGAGGTTGTTCTAGGACTTTAAAAGATTAGAAACAGAGATACATAGAAGCAACTATAGGATAATGCAGTGCTTTAAATGTTAATACTATAGATACTTAGCAGCTAAATGCATAAAGACAACTAATACCTGCTCCTATTATATAGGGGAGCACTAGGTTAAAGAATGCAAAGCATATAAGGGAGAAGTAAGATATGTATACTGCACTAAAAGATACCCCTCTTAGGCGAAGGAATGCCTAGTAAGAATATAGGCAGCTAGGAAAGCGAAGGAAGCCAGAATTAATACACTAAAAAGATACACAATAAGCTAGGGTAGCTAGGTATAGAAGCAACCTAGCTAAGTGCTATAAAAGAGGTCTAGGCAAGATAATAGGTTCATATTTAGGGCCTTACTAGTATAAGAGAGTTACTAGCAACTAGAGAGACTAAGATACCTTAATATTGTAGGAAAGGAAGTAGGGCAGACAAAGCTTAGTCAAATATTAGTCTAAAGTAAGGGAAGACTAAAGGAAAACTTATAGGGAAATGATATAGATAAAACCTAATAAACATTGCAACATTACTAAATATTATATAGTACAATGTTAACAAGAGTAAAGACAAGGTATAGAGGAGCTTCCTTTAAGCACTAAACCTAAAAGAACATTACATTATTATAATCTAAGAGCCCTAGCTTAACCTATATACAAAGAGACTAGCAACAGTTAAAGACCTAAGATACTACCTAATTATCTACAACTAGGGAGCCCTAAGGACATATATCTATATTAGTAAGGAGATAGATATAGAAACCTAGTAGGCTATACTATAGGAGGATAGGGACCTAATATTAGTTTAAGTAGAGACATCCTAAGGTATACTCTAAGTCTACTGTATATACAACCTACTACTAAACTCAAGAAGCAGTACCTAACTAAAAACCCTAGAAAGACTACCTAGAGTTATCTAGGGGAACACCTACTAAATCCTACTTAGGGATTTCAACCTCTACTACCCCCTCTAGGGCTTAGACTTTACCCTAGCTTACTACTTCCTAGTAGGAAGACTAATTAATATATTAGAGAGGGAAGGAATAGAAATTGTTACCCTAAAGGGACTGATTACTTAGGAGGCAAGAGGAAGCAGCAGCATACTAGACCTATACTTTGCATTATATTAGATTAGGAACAGGATTATAAGATGCAGGGTCAACTAGGAACTAGAAGAATTATTAGACTACTTCCCGGTATAGATTGAGCTAAATATCTAAGCTAATTAGGAAAGGGAACTAGAGGAGAAGCTTAACTAGAAAGGTGCCTAATAGAGCAGGATTAGGGAGGAACTAGAAAGGGACCCAAAACTAGAGGAACTCTTAATAAAGCACCTACTAAGGCTAGAGGATATTAATAAGGCAGTAGAAGAACTAATAGGAATCCTAAAATAGGTAGCTAGAAAGCATACCCTAGCAAAGAAACATTTACTATACTAGCAACTATACTAGACTAGTAAGTATACAAAGAAGGTTAAAGCAGTAAGGAAGGCTAGGAGATAGTAGATACAAACCTATACCTAGGAAGCATAGGACAACTATAATAAAGCCTACTAGGAAAAGAAGATCTAGATCAAGAAAGATAAGATACAAGAATAGAGATCTATAATAGGAATAATTACAAAGAAACTAGAGGAGATATAGAGGATAGCTAAATAGGTAAGGAGACCTAAATAGGACAAGGATATACTACTACAATTCCCGGATATTATAGACTAATAAGGACAAATGTAGACTATAATAGAAGGGAAAGCAAGAGCCCTAGGCTACTATTTCTTCTATAGAGAAGTATAAGCAGACCTATTAGATATAAAGGAGAAAGAATAAGAGACTCTACTGCTAGGTACACTAAGAGACACCTAGGTCAAACCCGAAACTATTAAAAGGATCCTAAAGAAAATTCTAGGCAATAAGGTACTAGGAGAAGACAAGATCTATAACAAACTCCTAAAAGTATATAGGAAGGGGCTAGCCCTAGTACTAGCTAATATCTTTTTACAAAGCCTAGTACTAGGACACTACCTAAGACTATTTAGGAAGTCTCTTATAGTAGTGCTAAGGAAGCCCTAGAAGGAAGACTATATATAGCTTAAGGCCTATAGACTAATAGCCCTACTTAATATAATAGGCAAGGTACTAGAAAAAATTATCGCTAAAAGGCTAACAACCTTTACCGAGGAAAGGAACATCCTTCCTAAAGGCTAGATAGGAGGAAGAAAGAAGAGGTTAATACTAACAGCTATAGAACTAATTATAGAACAGATTAAGTATATCTAGCACTATAGTTAAAACTAGGTAGCAACCCTCCTCTCCCTAGACATCTTAGGAGCCTTTAACAATGTCTCCTATAAAAGGCTCCTATATATACTTAAATAGAAAGCTATACTAAACTGGATAGTCTAATTTATTTAGTCCTTCCTATAGGAAAGATCAATATAGCTTATTCTAGGCAAATTCAAATCAGACCTAATGCAGCATGCTAACTAAGAAGGGAATTCCCTAAGGATCAATACTCTCCCTAATCCTCTTCCTTATCTTTATAGCAGACCTACTCCTACTCCTAGAATTAAAAAACATATTAGCATTAGGGTTTGTAGATAATACAAACATCCTAGCCTAGTCTAAGATAATAGAAACCAACTGTAAGATCCTAGAAGAGAAGCACTAAGAGTATAAAAAATAGGCAAGGAGGTATAGAGCAAAATTCGCCCTAGAAAAGTACTAGCTTATCTACTTTAGCAAGGCCAAATCAACCTATAATATAAAGCAATTAATCACTATCTAAGGCTTTAAAACCTAACTATTAGTAGAGCTTAGGGTACTAGGGATCTAGCTAGATCCAAAACTGAATTAGGGACTATAAGTAAAGAAGGCAAAGTAGAGGGCAGATACTAATATACAATCTATTAATAGGCTTATAGCCTCTATATAGGGGGCTATATTCGAGAAAGCTAAAGTTATATACAAAGCAATTGTTAAGCTAGCAATGCTATATAGAGCATAGATATAGACAGCCTAGGAGAAAACACTAAAGAGGATTGAGCAACCGGTTAGTAGGTCCTAAACCTAAAGCCTAAAGAAAATCCTAGGAGCATATAAAACTATACTAATAAGGGTAGTAGAAATGGAATTAGGGATCCTACTAGTTAAATAATACTTCAAGGGACTAAGACACTAATATATAGCAAAGACAATAGAATACCTAGTCTAATAGACTATTCAAAAGGTACTAGACAAGATAAAAGCCCAATATATTAGGACTAGGAGGCGAGACAGACTATAAATAACTCCCTAGAAAGTTAAAGACCTAGAGCAATATAGAGTCTTAATAAGAGAAATGCTAGAGAAAGAGCTTTAGGGACCAAATATAAGGCTAAAGAAAGACAAGCTAAAGGGAGAGAAATAAAGCCTAGCAGAATTAATTACTAAATACCTATAGGAGTAGGAATAGAATAAAATACAAGTTAGACTAGGAACCCTAAAGGTACTGATTAAATTTGGTTAATATAACTACTAGCTCTACAAGGACCTAAACAGGGCCGAGGCAAGCCTAGCTATCTAAATCAGATCTAAATACATTAGACTCAGATCTTACCTGTTTAGAAGAAACGTCCTAGGAATTAAAAGTAGAGCTTACTAATATAGCTACTAATCTTAGAACCCTAAGTATATGCTACTAGTCTACCCTTAATAGTTAGAAGGTAGAAGTGATTAGAGACTAAAAGTAATAGAAAGGGAATACGATAAGCTAATCTAGAGCAAAGAAGACCTAAAGAGGATAGTAAAGTAGATTATTAAATAGGGATTTGTATAACAATTCGCACTAGTAAGGGAAACTAAGGAGTAGATAAGAAGGAGGGAAGAAGAGGGGGAAAGAAGGGCAGGGCAGCAGGCAAGGTAGTTAGAGGGTAACAACTATAATACTAGTATACCTTAGAGGAAGGAAAATAAGGAAACGAGGAAGATTAACACTTATAAATAGGACAGGAGGGAGGTTTTTACTAACTAAGTTAGTTTCCTACCTAAAACAATATATAGAAACAGACCTATATAGGCCGAAAGGCACTACAACAGGCAAATGAAATATCTATCTATCTATCTATCTATATATAGTCCGCGTAGCCTATCGACTTTAACTTAATTAAAGAGGTAGACTTAACCGAGCCTAGAGCTATAGCTATAAGGTCCTTCGTAGACCTTACAACGCCTTAGCGACCTTCTAGGGTTATAAACCTTAGCTTAGAGTCTATAGTAGCTTCTTAATATAACTAGATAGACGACGACGACGCTATACGTAAGATATAGTATAAGAGAAGGACTTCTAACTAATATAGAGACAGTAGTAAGAGATAGCGATAGGTAGTAGATATAGCGATAGCGATATAGGCCTATAGGCTAGCAATATAGGCCTATAGCTAGCAATTAATATTAGTGCTAACCCTTATTAATCTATCGACCTAATTAGGTAGGCCGGCTAGCTAAGAACACCCTCCTTCTTAACCTATATCGTTACTACAGCCTATAGCTTACTTAACCCGGAACAGGTTATCTTCCAGTATTGGGGCGGTGCCTGCAAAGTTTGGTGGCGCCTGCCCAGAAGAATGGTATACTAAATTTCTGGGACATACAAGCTATGCTAGTGCAGTGCAGTGCAGTGCAGTGGCGTTTCAGAGGCTCGTGCCTGAAGCCCAGGGTGTTGCTTGGCTACGAGTACGAGAATAGTGCTGAAGTGAGTGCATTATTGTTGAGAATGTCAACTGGGCGTGGTGCTAAGTTCTCTGCGCCATCACAGTACTTTCTAGCAACAGACATCACCAACCCACCGACCCTGCATAGAACTACAACCCCGTCGGCTCTCGGAGCTTAGGAGCGTTGCTGCACACGGCATCGGCAAGGCACGGATAATGACCGACAAAGCATAATCATAAGCTCTCGCACCTGAAAGTCGATTCAACTTGACAACTGCGCTGCTTTCTTCACAAACACATCAAACATCAAACAGCCTCCAAACACCTCCGCCATGGCAGACCGTAAGTTGTCACCAACCCTTCATTCGCCGCAAACGCCTCATCACACCATGCAAGTCGCAACAGCTGACAGCAGTCCAGAACACTCCCCAGTAGAAACTCCACCCTCCGGCGGCGTGTACGAAACACCCCTCCCTCCTTCCAAGGCACGCCCATCTGGTAAACTGACACACTTTCCACAGCATGGAACTCGCGACCCCCATTAACCTCATCCTCTTCTCCCTCTTCCTGGTCATCCTGTATTTCCGCCTCCGACCGCAAAAACTTGCCGCCGTCCTCTCCGCCGCTCCGCCTCCAACCGTCTTCAAAGTTTTCACCCCACCGCAATTACTCCCATACAACGGGACCAAAAATATGCCAGTCTACCTGGCTGTGCGCGGCAAGATCTTCGATGTGACTGCTGGCCGCAACTTCTATGGGCCTGGCGGTCCGTACCAGAATTTTGCTGGACGGGATGCGAGTCGAGGGCTTGCTTGTGGGAGTTTTGATATGGAGATGTTGACGGAGGATTTGGAGGGGCCGTTGGATAAGCTTGAAGATTTGGGTGAGGAGGAGATGGATGCGTTGAGAGGGTGGGAGGAGAGGTTTAATGAGAAGTATCTGGTTGTGGGTAAGCTTGTGCCGGTTGGGCATCCCGAGGCCGAGCCTGATGAGTGAGGAGTGAGAGACTTGTTCGTTTGCATGAGCGATGTAAACATGACCGTCAAAAGCATAAGAGGAGGACTTCCAGTTTTGCAGCACGATTGGGGTGATGAAGACATGAACGTCCAAGACGACCCAAGGTCTTCCCGCCTTCGTTTGACCGTGACCTAGAGCTCACATCTCGCAGACAATGACTCTCCGCAATCAGCAGGTACCTGTATACCACACGTTCTGACGCCCAGCCTAACTACAAGATCCTTAAGATGAATCTACATCAACGCCCTAGAAATCCGACTTCAGCATCTCTCTCTCACTCAAAGCACACCCCGTAACCTGTACAAAGAGGATGTCATGATTCCAGCTTCTCGTCAGTGCCAGCTCTCGACGAAGAAGATCTTCCGTTGTTTCCTTCACGGACAAAATCAAAGAAGCCTTGGTGTGGATAGCTTTAACGCAATGCATGTTTGACGACACTGACGGCTTGAAGGGTGCAGTGGGCAGTCTTAAAGCAATCGCGAGTCGGATTCGAACATTATTGTCATGGCCTCCGTCGGTGATTTCCTAGAGTCATCGGAAATGGAGACTTGCGTGTGATGAAAAGTATCAATGTGCGTGATGATCGTGGGAGGGAAGGAGAAGGTAATCATCATGTTCTCGTCTTATGAACTCAAAAAAAAGCTAGAGCGCCTTTGGGGTATCTCTTCCCGTGCTGTGTGTGACTGTATCCCAGGTACACATACGTCGTCGCTTCTTCACGACGCTACTCCCCATCATTACGCGTCACACTGTACAGCAGCTCTCCTCCATCTCAACTTTCTTTCTCGTTAGAGAAGTGGTATCCCATCGCAACTTTCTCGTCTGAGAAGTGGTATCATTCCGTGCAAAGCCGTAGATCAATCATAATACAAAGCAATGGTGTCATTGCTTCTATCCCATAACGCCGAAGTAGTAACCCATGGTATCGATACAGCTTCTACGTGAAGCCATTAGACCTCTCGAAGAGATGCTCGTCCCAGCCGATGTTACCGCCATCCAGCTCTCCGCCGCTCAGAGTGCCTATCTCTGGCAGGACGGGCAAAGAATGGGCATCCTTAAACCGCTTATGCTCTGGGCCGTCTTCGCTGAGGACATCGAGGTCGTCGGTGTTGGTGAAGAAGCCGCTCTTACGCTTGAACCAATTGCTGGATCGCCTCTTGCGGAGACTAGCTGAAGTTCCTGGTCGGTTCTTACTCGACGAAAGGAAGAAAGGTGTTTGGGCGGCGGATGGCGTGGTCGACATGATGGATGGCGACTCGGCACGCTGCACAAAGCTGCCATTGGAAGTGTCGGGGCGCTGATTCTGATTGAGACTGAATGAAGTGCGCGAGCTGCTGAAGGACTGGCGCAAGCTGGTCAGGCTGAACAAGCGTCGCACACTGGGCGGCCTACGCTGCGATGGCGATGACGGCATGTTGGTTTCGGAAGTTGGAGATGTCGGTGACTGTGGGGTGTCGTCTCTGTTGATGGAGGTGGTGTTGGTGTCGGTCGAGTGCTTGAGGTGACCGGTGAGGGTAGGACTGGGTGGAAATGCGCCTGGGATATGCATCATGGGCTTAGGGATTGAATCGTTGGTAGGATGTGATGTCAAAGGGCCTCCGAGTGATGTGGGAGGAGTCGATTGACGCGGCTCTCCAATGGACGTTGGAGGCGAGTCAGGCGGAGCAGGGATGTCGGTGCCTTTCGTCAAGGAGAAATCGTGACGCGGGACGTGGAGCACGAAGGAGTGTCGCTGCGATGCTGCGGCGGCGGCGGGCATTTTATTTTTTTCTTCTTCTTCTGCTGCGCAAAGCTGCCTGACACAGCGTCGCTCAGCTCCTGGAGGGTGCAGCGGCTGCGCAGTGCGCACTGTCGCGCCTCTAAAACGAATCTTGTGTCTGCTGCCACCTGCAGTAGCGCACTATCGAACAAGCCCAAAAGGCGCAGATTCGTGGGCGAAGGCTGCGGGGTGCCTGGATTTTCGATACTGCCAGGCTGGGATCAATGTGGAAGTCTGTGGCACATGCCGGGATGTGGTGAAGACAGTTCTGGAATTGCAATGAATTGAATGAGAGAATGAGAGAATGCCGACTCACGCTGCACCTGCCGTGGCCGTACGTGCTGGCCGTAGTTCTAGGCGAGAAGGAGTGCTACTGCCGGCGATCTGTGAGGTCGACGTGTTGCGCTTTCCCTAAACGAAGCCGGGATGGACGTTCTGCTTCCCGCCGTGCCTTGCAGCAGAAGCCGTCCAATCAACTGCCGAGGCAGAACAGATGCCTCTGCATTGAAACGCATTTTCCCGGAGACGATTCGTGCGTGTGGTTGCGATTGCCACGCCCACATGCACTTCGAGAAAGACATCGTCATCACTTGAATGACTCGCACGCAGCACATGCCATTGTGAGCGTTGGAGCGGACCGTTCGGTGCCCGATGTGCCAAACAGACGTGCGCAGTGCGTGAGCGGACGGCGACCCTGCAAGAAGTATTCAAGTCTTACATAGCAGAACATTTCTCTTTCGCATCGATATTGAGCCGAAGGGCAGCGAGGCTGCTGCATTGATCGGAATGCGCAGCGGCTGAATCACGTTTCAGTGACCCGCTTCATCCTTCATACCTCACCTCACCTTTGTCCCAATGAGGGTTGAAGGACAGCCCCATGTGCTCACTTCTTCCTGGGCCTCTGTGTTGTAATCAGAGTAGCAGAACTCACCTGATCGGGAACTTGACTTTGCAATCATTTGAACCCTGCTTTCAGCCTGCTAATCACGAATTGTCGAAATCTTCCCGAGCCTTGTAGGCCACCTGCACTCCTTGCTCAGCCTATGCTCCTTCCTCAGTTCCAGCCTGCCTCCAAATGGTTTGTGCATCTGCACATGCTATGGAGTTTGGAGCAGAAACAACTCCTGCCGTCTCGTTAAAGCTCTACTACACCATGACCCCACTTCGTTGAACTCGGCTCTGCACCACAACATTCACTGGTCCATCTCGTCAGACGGACCTCCGCTCTTAACACGCCAGAGTAGCATCCACTGAGTCGACAGACCTGACTTCGTCGTCTCACATAACATCTATCATTTCTGCATCTGACCTGCACTGACGAGACACTTGACTGTGCAGCACTTCTCACATTAAGGAAAGAGCCCATAATACTTTGAGAATCAAGCAGCATGGATCAACTTGAGAAGAAAGAACTCGATACATCTCGCGGTCTTCACTACCGCTACTTCGTTTCTCCACTTTCCACACCAGACTCAAGCAAGCCGACCATTGTTCTCTGCCATGGCTGGCCCGACAGCGCAGAATTGTGGCAATTCGTCATCCCACAACTGCTGCAGACGAAATGCAGACTGCTCGCTCCAGACTTACTTGGCTCGGGTGGATCTTCGAAGCCTACAGATCCAGCAGCTTTCCAGATCCAGCTCATGGTCGACGATGTAATGGAGGTTCTTAAAGCAGAAGGCATTGAGGACAAAATCATCCCAATGGGTCACGACTGGTACGTCCGCAAATCATCACACACATTAGACACAGTAGTCTCTAACGAACATCCTCCCAGGGGCTCCTACTTCGCCCAACGCCTCTACATGCTCCACAAGTCCAAAATGTCAGGCCTCATAACACTAAACGTAGCATACATGCCCCCAAACCCCGAACCCTTCAACCTCGACGCCATGAACGCCCAAACCAAACAAACAGTCGGCTACCCAATCTACGCTTACTGGGAACTCTTCGCCGACCCCCAAGTCGGAAAAGTCATGGACCCCAACCTCGAATCAGTCTGGTACGCGTGCCACGGCGCCTCCGAAAAGAACTGGATGCTCCAACTCTTCTGCTCACCCGGTGAAATAAGAAAATTCATCTCCGCAGGACGTACAGACGTCCCATTAAAATCCTACGGGAAAAACGAAGGTTTAAAAAATTCCTGGCTCCACGAAAAGAAGGCTGAAGGGATGACTTCACAATGTTCTTGGTATCGAGCCATGACGGAGGGGTATCAGGATTCTACTGATAAGTTTTTGGCCGAGGGGGAGAAGGGGAAAGTCACGACTCCTTATCTTTTCATCGGGTGTGATGGGGATGCGGTTTGTTTGACGGGGTTTATTGAGGTGGCGAAACAGTCGGGGGCTGTGAGGGAGGAGCTTTTGACTGTGAGGGAGTTGAATTCGGGGCATTGGTGTCCGTATGAGAAACCACAGGAGGTGGCGGAGATTGTTGTAGAGTGGTTGGGGAGGGAAGGGTTTATTTGAGGGGAGGAAGTACGGATTTATATAGGATGTTTGGTGAAGAGCACATCGAAGGTATCGTCTTTCAGTAGAGATGAACGATTCCTTATCCGGGAACTTAAAAAAGCAAGCAAAAAGTAGCAATCGCTCTTACCTTGATAGTAAATCCCACGTCATCAAGTCTTTCTTGGAGGCTTGGTAATAAGTTCAGTGAATTGTGGAGCTCTTCCTCAGCGATCTTCAGCGACCCATGCTTGTTTACTAAAATGCAAAATGTATATGAATGCCTGCAGTGCTGGCGGGTAGTAGGTACGTTCCTTCCTATGCGAAACACGAATTGTGGGTCCTGGGGTTTGCTTGGTCAGTAAAGGAAGGAGCGATGCGGGACCTACTTTTCAGGAATTTTATAATGAAGTGCATTTTTTTGCAGTTGGGCCGGAATTGGGTGGGCGTTGATTTGATTCGAGACTTCGAAATCGATTATCTAGGGATGAACTACCTACTATAGTTGCAGGCAGGAGCTTGGGAGGATTTAGGCCAGATTTTACGAGTTGGTGTGGGAAGTAGAAATGTTAGGTTATGTGTTGGCATCTAGTAGTAGGTACCTATAAACAAACTGGAAATGCAATGATAGATGCTACTAGTGCACAGCATTGAAGAATGGTATCTGTCGGGGTCATGGGAGTTGTGTGCTGTTCAGAGAACTGATTCCCATTTCTCATTCCATAACTGTTAAGTTGGAGCGCTGATGCCAGGTTTTCTCGGTCCGTTTTGTTTACCTTCGAGGTGATGAGAAGGTGTTCACCTCTGGGGTATGAGCCTGGTCGATTTGGGATGCTCGTGGGGTAAATCGTCGTTGAGACTCCGTTCAAGCAAGACGAGAGTCTACCCAAACGGGGAGACATGCTCGTGGGCACGATATAGGAGCTACATCATCTTCATTTGGGGGTTTTTTCTGTATTCGGCCGTTTTTCGCTTGATGGGGCTGTCGTCATGTATGTGGTCGTCGTCAGTGGCCTTCGTGTATACCGAGAGAGCCTCGTTGGTTAGCGGCCTTACTCCTCGACTCCTGGGTAACTGGTATGCTTCTTCAAGTGAGGATGAAAGTCTGCGTCTCTTCCTCAAGACGGCCTTCAGCCCGAAGCTGGTCGATGTATTCCCCCTGTTGATACTTGAGTCAGCAAGCTTCAAAATCCTCTTGCAGTGATCCCTCTGCCTTACTTTATGGATATCCGGAATGTAAGCAAGGCCTTGAATTTTATGCCTCGGGCCTTCCTGCCTTAACACAAATGCATCTCTTCCCCCAAATAAGACGCAGATATGATCACCACGACTCAGTCTTGCATAAGTGACGCCAACCCTGCCGTCTGCAAGTTGAAAGAGAATTTTATCTTTGAAAGCGCGTTCACAGTCAAACATAGCTTCACCAGCTCCTCGTAACTCGAACTTGGAAACAAAACGATCCAACACAGATCGTGTCGATGGACTGCATTGATCCTTCCAGTGATTGATGAACGCCATAAAGTATGGAAGCAGATGCGTCGCATCGTCCACACGCAGGGTCTTGTAGTTACCACTAAACAAAGCCGCAGCTGTGTTCTTCGGATTGGTTGTGTCCAGATCTGCCGACCAGACGCCAACAAGCCATTCGAGCAGCGTGGTGTTCGAATTGCCTTCTAGATCCAGCAAATTGACCACTTCTCCAACGCACACACCCTGAACGTGCAATTCATTCGATGCCTCGTGCCCAATATGAACGACAGCCTGTTGATTCGCATGGACGCGAGCAACAGGTGGGCTGAGATAGTGTATCTGGTCAGCGGCTATGATATGCAATCGTGGAACCCAAGAAGGCCAATCATAGTCACTTTCTAGATAAGGAACGGAACCTGCTGCCAGATCTAGGACTAGCAAGGATTTCTCTGATGTGATGGCAGTGGATGTTGCTTCACGATACACAGTGAGAAGGTCCTTCCCATAATCAGGTACTATTTTTCCCTTTATGGACTCTTCGCTTGAATGTCCTTCGCGGTGTGTCATGCCGAGGAGAGCGTATACTTTATCCCATGCATTGCTTGTCTGGTACATTGTTGCAAGATCAAGTCGCTGAGAGAGATGAAGATCCTTTCCATTTTGCAATTGGCGCCGTAGGATACAGAGAGTACATCGGGAAATCAATTCATCCACGAACTGCTGTGGAGAGAAGAACCAGGATACATCGTGCAGATAAGTCCAAAGTATGGCTTCCTCGAAAATTTGCAATGTCATAGCGTGTGTTCCGTTTATAATAAATATCCGCTTTACAACGAACATTTCTTGCACGATCCACAGCCTCGTAAAGTACCTGCATCGGAGAAAAGACAGACAAGCACGCCTATCACACGTGGCAGGAGGTGCGACACGCATGAAGGGTAGATTCTCACAATGGTATCGAGGCAAATTGAACAGATAATTAAGATCGTGCTGATCACCAGTCAGCTGACGATACTGTCGTTGAAGAGCCTCGAAACTTTGAATCGCTGCTGGCGTCGTCCCATCGTCCGGACCTAGCCAGGAGAACACCAGGTGAGCCTTGGCAAAAACCCTACCCATCATGGCAACCTGGTGTGATTTCTCCTCTAGATCATCTTGGTTGATACAAACGGCGTCGATCCATATGAGAGTGGCTTGATGACTCTCATCCGTCCTGATTGCTCGTAGTATGCCTCTTAAAGCTTCTTCGGCACTGTCTGGAACGAGTGCTTCTCGTCCATCCATAATGATCGGAGCAAGACCAGGATTCTCGCCCCACGCGTATGATATGGCATAGTATGGTTCCTGCAGGTCGGTGTGCAAGGTCAAACTTTCCAATTTGAAGCGCAGTAGGTGATCGTCATCAGGTTGACCCTGCTCGAAACGCAACACTCGTATCTGCTGTTCATCATGTGCAAGAGGGTGGTATTGGTAGGCTTTGGTCATCGTCGAAATATTTAAGCTTGTGGCAAGGAGACCATCGAGCTCTGACGAGCCGTGTGAAGCCATCTCCTCCTTCTCCCCTTAGAATATGGTTTGGAAGCACCAGCGTTTCCTTCGGTCGCGTGAGATATATCATTCGGGGGAATGATAAGTTGCAAGAGGAGCAGACATGAGAAGGAGCTGAAAAGAGGAATGTTGTTCTCACGACTTCAGAACGGCTGAGTCGTGGAGATGGAGATGCTGAGCGGATGTGGCGCAGACTTCGCTAAGGAAGGAAGTCGCCAGTTGAAGATGCACGTGATTTTTGACTTGGCTGCAGTCGGTCGGTCGGTCGGTCGCAAGGCAACATAGGGATACCTATTCTATACAGGTCAAACCCCGTATCGATGGGGCCTGCTGAGCCTGAGCTACTTTGGAGAAACAGCGGTCACGCACGACCGTGAGCTGCAACATCGACAGACCACTGAAGATGCCGAAATATGTCCCAGAGATCACTGTGGTCTTGTAGAATTGAAGATGCTCGAACCTCAGCAGTCTCGGCCGTGAAATGCTCAAGTTCTATGCTCATGCTCCTGCGCCCAACGCCTCGCTAATACCACAATACGTTCAAATGCTTCGAGGCCCAGACTCCACGGATCACTCCCCTGCCATCGCAGCGTACTCAACATCACCCTGGCCAGGCGGAGGAGCGACAGCTGCCAAGCTATCCAGATCGTCGTTGGCTGATGCGCTCGCCGCGCCACCCTCAATCTGCCTTCTCTGCGCTGGCCCTCCAACCGCTTTCGTCGCCGCTTGAGTCGCTCTGCCGGCCCGCGCGTTCTCCATGCGCTGCTCTCGGTCCATGTTGTCAAGAGGCTTCGGCTTTCCCCACTGCACTCTCAATGGCACTCCTTTGACAAGCGCTCTTCCTTGACATGACTCTGCGGCCTTCTCAGCGCCTGCCCTCTCCATGTAGTTGACGAAGGCGCAATGAGACCGATGCGAGCAGACTAAGCTGCGCAAGGCACCAAATTGCGTAAAATGTTCTCGAATCGCATGTTCGGGTAAATCGTCCTCAACACCAGTGACGAACAGGGAGGTGATGTTCTTGTCAGCCGGTGGTCGAATATCCTCTGGCTTAGGTGGAAGTGTAGCAGATGAGGGAAAGCCCTTTCCACCCCTGGCTCCTCCTCGTCCGCCTCTGCTTGCTGATGAGCCGCCTCTCGGTGGTCCATAGGATGAACCGTATGATGACTTTCCTCTCGAATCTGTCGTCCGTATTGGCCCTGGTGTGTGTGCACCATCTCCGCCTTCCAACAATTTCTGTCCCGAACCAGACCCCTCTGCTTCTTCCAACTCCAGCCGCCTCTGCTTCTTGTAATATGGCTCACTTTGTGCCAATCTCCGTAAAAGTTCTCTCGCTTTCTCATCAGTCTTCTCATACCCCTCCAATCCTCTGCCTTCCTCGATCTCGCGCTCGTTATTTTGGGCAAAATATTCTCGGTTGATCTCTGACTGTGGGCCAGGCGCGACCATTTTGAGCGCAGCATCTCGAATGGTAATCGGTAGGCCGAATGACAAATCCAACATGCAGTGCTGGCAGCAATTTTTGAGTCGCGCGCATGTTAAGCAGATGTTGGTCTTCTTCTGGCGGGATGTTCTGTCGGCTTTCCATTTGAAGACCGTGAATGGTCTTGTGCACAGCTTACATTCTGCGCCGTAGTCCTCCTTCAACATCTGCACGTATGGGTTATCGCTTAGGCATCGCTCGCACACTGAGGGCAGATCTGTCGTTTCCCAGCCCGACCTATTCAAGTCCTGCTTGATTTGTGGCGGCATGTTGGCGCCTCTCTGCACTTCGTGGTGAAGGTGGTAATCTCGAGACCAGTCCAGATGACAGAGAGGAAAGCGTAGGAGAAGGTGTCTTACGCTGTCGCCGCTGCTGTCGATGTTCTGGATTTGCGAGCAAGAGAACGCCCAAGCACATGACATCGTGGTCGGATCGGATCAAAATCTGAGCGACGCACGGACACTCCCAAGAATTCATTTCGCGCCTTCCTCCTTTGAGACTGAGTGTGGAGGAGCAGGCTCAGCAGGGGTTGGCAGTACCTGCATACGCTAAGAATCAAAAGTCGTTCGATCGCCTCAACATTCAAACTCGTACGAGGCGAATGGTGTATTGAGGATTACTACAACACCCTCGCCTTGTTGCTGGATTCGACTTCAATCGTACCATTATTTCAAGCTCAATTGATCGGTCCGACCCCAATTGCCTCGAAAGCATTCCCACTCCTATACGCAAACGATACATCGCCCACAATGCCTTCCGCGGCACAACTCGAAAAGGAGGACAAGGAGCGCGATGCTGCCTTCAAGCAGGCAATGCACGGCAAGACCGGTGAAGGTCGAGGTGGCCTGTGGAACTATATAGGCAAGAATCACGAAGCTCAGCAAGCCGCCGTCGACTCGTACTTCAAACATTGGGACAACAAAGCCGCAGGCGAAGAAACGGAAGAGACCCGCAAAGCACGACGAGACGAATATGCTACCCTAACACGACACTACTACAATCTTGCCACCGATCTCTACGAATATGGCTGGTCACAGTCCTTCCATTTCTGCAGATTCTCCAAGGGCGAGCCGTTCAGACAAGCAATTGCGCGACACGAACATTACCTCGCACTTCGCATGGGTTTGAAAGAAAATCAGCGCGTACTCGATGTAGGATGCGGTGTTGGTGGTCCAGCACGCGAGATCTGCAAGTTCACTGATGCCAACATTGTCGGATTGAACAACAACGACTACCAAATTGAGCGCGCAACTCAGTATGCTAAGAAGGAGGGCCTTTCGCATAAGTTGAGCTATGTCAAGGGCGACTTCATGCAGATGTCCTTCCCAGACAACTCTTTCGACGCCGTCTACGCAATCGAAGCTACTGTCCACGCACCCAGTCTTGAGGGTATCTACTCTGAGATCTTCCGTGTGCTTAAGCCAGGCGGAGTCTTCGGTGTATACGAATGGCTGATGACCGACAAGTACGACAACGACAACCCACACCACCGCGAGATCAGATTGGGTATCGAGCAAGGAGATGGAATCTCAAACATGGAGAAGATCGAGGTCGCTCTCGAGGCTATGAAGGCTGCTGGATTCGAGCTGGAATTCAACGAGGATCTTGCAGACCGACCAGATGAGCTGCCGTGGTACTACCCTCTGTCTGGAGACCTCAGGTACATGCAGACCATTTGGGACTTCCCAACTCTTTTCCGCATGACGAAGCTGGGTCGTGGCTTGGCACACAACTTCATGGGCGCGTTGGAGACGATCGGTGTTGCACCTAAGGGTACCCAAAAGACCGGTAACTCGCTTGCTGTTGCTGGTGACTGCCTTGTCGCTGGTGGTAAGGAGAAGTTGTTCACTCCCATGTACATGATGATTGGCCGGAAACCAGCTGCGAAGACCAATGGCGTGCACTAGACGGCGATAGAGGGATGATTGTGGGTTGCATCCCGTCATTTGCGCGGAATCTTTGGTTGCATGAGAGAATGGCGTTTGACCTAAAGTGGTTTTGTAGAATACCTTTGTCGTTTCCACGTAATGTACAATCAGACCTAGCTCCGACGGAGCCTCCAGCCCAGTGATGATTGTCCTATGCAGTTCGAGCGACATTTCCTTCATTCAATGCCTAGACTTTTCCTGTTCGAACAAGCCTGGATATGATCGACGGCAGGTTTGAGCTCCGTTCGATCGACCTTGTACGCCATTTGACCCCGGAACTCTCAGTGATGGCTTTCAAGGTAGCACATCGCATTCACCATCCGTACAGGAACTTATTCCATCGAAAGCTCTCCCGTGCCTCCGCAACTCGTTGAAGGCCTCGGCGAAGCATTTCTCACGTCCATTCCCGCCTTCAGCCTCGCAGCATGATTCCCTTCACCTCTCATCAAGCCATGAAGCGTCCTCTATTCCCTTCACTTCCACTCAAATCACAGACCATACTCCCATCCTCTATCTCTCCCCACACAACCTAACCTCCCCCTCCCCAAGCAAAGAATCGCGTTTAACATCTTTCCAACTCTTCCTCGTACCCTTCAACGTAGTCGCAGTCTCATTATCCAATCTCTGCGTAAGCTCATGGATATTAAGCTTATACTTCTCATTCCCCATATGTCTCCCTTGCACCAGATTTTCTCTCAGAATTTGTGTCACTCCTTGAGCATGTTCGACTCCTTGTGCTGCTTCGGCTGAGTCGGGTTTTAGGGATTTTTTCTGCCGGAACTCGGAGCGTGCGAATGTGCGCGAGGCCGAGAGGGTTTCGGTGTCGCCTGGGAATATGGATTAGAGACTTTCAGGTGGTATGGGATGGGAGGGATGGATCGCTTACCATTAAAGGCGATTCGTGTTGCGCGGAGGAGATGGCGGTAGGTTGCGAGGACTGCGAAGCGGTTTGTGGCTGTTTCGAGGGGCGTGAGGATTTTCGATGCCATCGTTTGGGCTTTTAGCGTCCCGATCTGGCTTGAAGAGCTTTTGTTATCGTTGGCGCATTGTGGTATGGTGTTTCAAACGCATGTGAAAGCGAGAACCAGACCGTCTCGGAAGAAGTTCGGACTTGGAGGAGGCTCACGGACCAGGTCTCGAGAGGACTTCACTCCTTGTTGAACCTTACTCTCTTATCCATTTTCATTATTAAAGCGCGTCTTGGGCTCGGCAGAACAAGATAGTGTTTTGTGCTCTTGCCTGGGATGTTGAGAACTGCCTTCCTGATTGAGGCGATCCTGCAATAGGATCTGAGGTTTAGGGCAAGCTCAGTGCATGAATTAATTGGTAGGGCGCGACTTCTCTGATAGAAGTCCTCCTTCACTCAATTCAAGATATCTCTTTTTCAAGAAAAGTCAAGCTTTCAGACTGATTCCCGGGACTTGTGAAAGATTGACGGACTACAAAATGCAACGCATGCCAAGTACTCCGACTCCCAACATACGACCACACGTCCTGATCCGGCGACGAACGGACCAGGACATTGCACAACTAATATCCTGTCTCGGACGAGTATACGAGAAGGACGGGTACCCGACTGGTATCACCGGCGTAGAAGAACGCAGGCAATTCCTCGACAGTGATTCGATCTTGCATACCTGGGTTGCGGAATCAAATCATCAAGCCATCGCCCAAGTCTCCATATGCAAAGCAGATGTTGAAGACAATCTCGCTGTCAGAGCTTGGCGAAAGAAGTCTCCTAACGATGAAGTGGCGGTGCTCGGACGATTGTTTGTGGATCCTGATAGTCGTGGATCTGGTCTTGCGAAACAGCTTGTCAATCAGGCGATGCAGTCGGCAAGTGCAAATGGTGTGAGATTAGTGCTTTGGGTGCTTGCGAAGCACGAAGGTGCTACTCGGTTGTATGAACAGTTGGGATGGGTGCAATTTGATACCGCAGTTTTTCATTCGAAGACGCTTGAGAAGGACTTCGATGCTTTGTGCTTTGTGGCACCTGAGAGCTCCCCATGAGGACGTATTGGACTCCGCATCGCCATTTACGCCGCGGCAGATACATGTTCTGTCATGAGGGTTCCACGCAGGTCGATCTTAGTGACAGAGCATAGAAGAGGGCTCTTTGAGCTTGACGAAAGACAGCAATAGCTCGCTTGAGCAGTTTACGAGAACCACAAGGGGCCATGGGTGAAAAAGTATCAAAGCTGCCTGCTTGCTGCAAGATTAATCATCATTTGAACCTTCGACAAAGTGCTGAACGAGATTGAACTTCTGCACTGGGACTGAGAAGGTCTTACCAGACTATATAAGTCGGGCTCGCGTCACCACATGTGCAGTCACTGAACCGGTGTGTAATCCACAGTACAGGATGCCAAGATTCTTGCGACACATGCAAACGAGTCGCTTCACATGCTCGCCGGAAATATTGTCTGTGCAATAGATGCGGGCCTGTTCATATGCCAAGGCTCACATGCCGAGTGAATGGGTTTCCGTCGAGTGAATCAGGGGCAGATATAAAAGCAGACTAAACATCTCATACCATTCTAGCTTTCTATTCCATCGGACAACATCAGAGCAAGCACCGCCACCAGCGCGATCCACCAACTAAACCCCGCCGCAACACTGCTATATTAACTACAGTCGCCAATTCGGATATCTGTACCTCGTACCTTCGACGTTCAACATGGACGACCGATTCAAAGCGCTCCTCGAGCTCCTGGGCGAGGAAAACCTGCCACCTTGCATGCCAACACCTCCGCCTGAAGAGTCCCTGGACGAACCTGAGACTCTGTCGCAGACCGCTTCGGCGAGCAATTCACCAAATGCTTATCCAGCTCCCCAAGCACTTCGCGCACCCCTGCGACCGAGATGGAAGTTCTTGCTGGTACAATCATCTCTGACCAGTCAGGCGAGAGTGTCGAGACTCCGGACGAGCCCCGCGTCTTGTCTGCAGCGGACGTAGTCTTCTGCCAAGAGCATATCTTGGAGCTCATCTTCGATCTACTGTCGATGAGAGATCTGCTGCTCGTTCAGCGCGTCACCGCCACGAGTCGATATGTCGTTCGGACGAAACCAAAATTCCAACGTCGCCTCTTTCTGGAGGAGGGCGATCTGGACGACGTGCATGAAGACGAAATGGCAGAGGACACACGTTACATTGAAGATCTGGCCGCATTCCCAGACGACTGGATGGAAGAATCAGGACGAGAGAAGCGACAAGGACAATCGATACGAATTGACGGACGAGGAGATTGAGCATGTGGAGGAGATCTGCGACGGGGAGTACGTGGAGCGCGGCTGGCTGGAGTCAGTCGACTAATCTCCTGCGCGGCATTGAACTTCGTTTCACTACGCTACCATCGGCGCTTGCTATTCTGTCATTCAAAAAGGAGTTATTGCATGATGTACATATAGAACTGGAGAAACTAAGCGGGGATAAAATACAGCTATCAGCCCAAAACTTCACTACTTTCCATCGGTACCCCATGGCAGTAATAATCAGTGACTGTAGTACTGATCTGATGTCTAACTCTTGCCTAGACCGGATACGGCTGTGGTCCTGCCGTTGCTCACAACCGATCCGAACCTCTATCCTTCCCAGGCAAGCAGGTTCGATTCTTGTGGGACACCCCAGGCCTGGCTGTCGGACCAAACAACAGCTACGTCACCTCCACTATGGCTGGTGAGCCGAAGTGGGCTGCTTGGGTCGCCCAGCTTAACTTGACTTACACTCCTCTGACGGTCACCGGTCCTAACGAAGGTTACACCTATCAGCCAGCTGGTCAAGTCTACGAGGATGGTCAAGGCATCGTTAATGACACCATGTTCGTCGCTCTCACCGATACCGACATGTTCCTGACACCATTCAACCTGAGCATGATCAATCCGCACGTGGTGGCTCTTGGTGTCTACCAGGCTGGTTAAAGGTATATGCATCGAACACGAGACATACCGTGTACGGGAATGTCGAACATAGAGAGAAAAGAATCTGAAGTGATGATTGATGAGAGCAACATTCGTCCACTGTTCCATGATGTTGGTGTTGGTAACTAGGTATCCTGTGGTCCTGATCGCTGTCGTCCTCGGGTAGATCCCGCAGCCAGCCACTAGTTTGCTTGTCCTGTCACCCAATCATTGCGCACCCGCTAACAGGAGCGTAGGGCATCACTGACGCAGGTACCGTAGCTGACGTTGCTGATGTCGAGATTGGACCGTAGCCTACAACGGAGGTGTATCTGTGACGCGGAGAAGTAAAAGGGCAAGGCAGAGTGCTGTGATACCTCACGTGATCCGGCTTACATCAGCTTCAATATCCTTTCAGCCTTGTTTCGTATCATCATGGACTGCAGAATGCAAGTCGGAGCTCTCCTACTTGGCTCCTCAGTCTGGAGCCGTTGCAGTGGTTAAACTAGCCTGTATTGCTGAAGAGGTTCTTGACGAACATCCTGCAGAGGAAAGGACTCGTAAGCAAGTCGACTTCTCGCGACTCCTTTTCTTTCCTACTCTTCCACTCTACAACTTTGACATCTGCCATTGACAACACAGCTAGCCAACCACTATGTCGAAAGCCTACACCAAGAAATCGAAAAACACCTCTTTCCAATCCCCGAAAAATCAAATCCCAACCCCATTCGTCAAAGCACCTGCCTCTCTCGCACCATTCCTCGAACGTCTCGATCCAGCAAAAGTCCACATCACACACATCGATCGCCATCCAATCCCATACAAAAAGAACATCTTCCTCATCCCCGTCGCCCTCAACGGCATCATCGCTCTCCTCCTCACATGGCGCCTCTGGATCGCAATCCCAAAATACTGGATCCTCCTCCAAACTCTCCTCGGCTACATCACATCCGCATCAGTCGACCCTACAACCACAACGCGAAAACAACAGATCCTAATCCTCTTCAAACGAACAGGAATGATGGCTTGCGACTTTTTCCTTTTCCGCTTCGTAGGTCCCTGGCCTCTCACCTTCTTCCTCGAACAACCCGCGAACCCGGTTTCTTGGAGATGGACGCTAGGGTTTCAGAAAGAAGAGGTTGTGGTGAGGGTCAGTCGGAATTGGGGTAATGAGGATCTTATGGAGGGTGTGAAGCAGGGTGAAGAGAATGCGTTTTTTAAAACCAGGGTTTTGCCTGCGATTGAGCCGAAGGTTATGCTGAAGAGCGGATATTTGACCATGAATGAGAGCTGGGACTTGGAGTTTGAGGTTATGTGCGATGCGCATACGCTTGTTCAGAGAGGGGCTTTGAGGATGGAGGATTTGGATAAGGTTGTTCTAGCGCATATGGAGGGTGTGGGTTGGTTGGTGTGGAAGTGGGATGGTGCGGGAGATGTGATTGAGGGGAGGAGGAAGAAGGTGGTTGCGTTCAAGGAGAAGCTTACTGCGATGGGCAAGGAAAGTTTGTTCTGGAAATGGACTGAGATTGTGGAAGAGGAGAGGGATAGAGATGGTGGGTTCACGCCGGAGAGACAGCAGAAGGTCGCAATGAGGGTACAACAGGAATTTGAGAAGAATGGAGTAGACTTTGAAGAGGTTGTCAAGAGTATTGGTGGTTTGGATGAGGTGCCATCCTCAGCCTGAGTTTCGATCCTTTAGCGACGGCCATAGCTCTGGTCGTGAATGCACTGGACCATAGCTGAAGGGTACATCGGATTTCAGGATTGCCAGGTCCACCAATCCTCCCTCATCATTTCGTCCTCATCGTAATCAGCATGATACAAATCCACGCGAGGAAAGGCCCTCAGTCCCCGCCAGCCTTCAGCATCTCCCGAGCGGTCTTTGAATGAGATCTGATAGCACACATAAGTCCGATCTCCGAGGGAATGATACATAGCCACTTTCTCGCCCGCCATCTGAATGGAAAGCGCTGCCACTACACCAGCCTGTGCCATGTAACTCCTGAGAAATGCTACTTCCGTCACCCACCAATCCCATTGCAGTCCAAGAAGGCTCATCCGATTGCCTGAGCTATCCACCACTCTGACGAAGAGGCTGTCTATCTTGACTGCCTGCTGTCGCCCGATACATGCGTACCATTGCCAAAACACCTCGGTTTCGGAATCGCTGGCGTTGAGGACGAAGTAATTGGACCCGTAGAAAAGCTTGACTCCTTCTGCTCGCAGTAGACGGCAAGCTCGCGTGATTGCAGGTTGAACTGCCGAGTCTGGTTTGAATTCAAGCGGGCATTCTTTTGAACTGGTGATCACTGCGTATTCAACAATGCGGACGACCAGTTCTGGTGGCAAGTCGAGAAGCCGAAAGTGCTCTTGCTTGGGCTTGGTTGGATTTTCTTGAGTTGGTTTGGGTATCATTGCTGAGGTCGCAGATGATGGCGAGCTTGCCGACAGTGCGGCAGAACGTGGACTCTGATTGTCGGCGATGTGTGATGGCGGTGATCCAGCAGTCGCGCCGCCGCCGCTGTCGTGGCACATCTTGCGCTAGAGAGTCTTTGGTTGTTGCTGTGATGAGCAAAGTCAACCAAGCTGGAGCTAGAAGTAAGAACGAGGGACGACGCGCCGCCTTCCGTGCACGGACGTTGCCGCTTTCACATGCAACACACCACGGCTCCTCAACGCTCGCAAAAGTTCCAACTTTCAGGCACTGCGCTTTTCTTCTCTTCTCGAACGTTCATTGCTGCATCGGCGAACCTGGAGGACCTCAAGTGGCAGACGTTGACTCTTCTCACACCAGTAGCTGTGCATTCCGTCATCGACGCTTGCGCTTCAAAGGTCAAGAGCAGATCGTTTGGCAGGTCTATGAAGAAGTGCTTGGGACTCTGCGGTCACTCCTCCTTTTCTCCCGCGGCCATTTTACTTCATCGTACAAAAAGATGTATTCATGCATAAGCTGGAGACCACGAGGCGACAGCATTCCTTATCTCTTGAGCATCTTCCAGGCAATCCCGCACACTCATATGTGATCAGATAGCTGCAACTGCAACGAGGGCTTCCCGACCGCTGCTTCAGCACGATCTTGACTCTCACTAAATGGGAAAGAGTGATAGCTCGCTTGGCCGTCTGGTCCAAACTTCGACCTCTTTGATAGCTGTACGACCTGACCAGGATCAGTGGTCTCATCCGATTCCGATCTACCCTGGCCGTTTAAGATAACCCAGCTGGCAGCTGGGGTCTTGCTAAGCGAAAACCACCGTGATATCCCGGCCCGGAGTCGGCACAAACTAACGAATCCATTGCGGTTCCAACTGATCCGGTTGCACCAACAATCTCGGACTGACAAGCACTTCACGTGTCAAACTGTGACACAACGTCCACGGGTACGAAGTGTGCAGCGAAGTACAGAGAGCTAGCTTGCCCTAAGAGCCCTCATTGGCGATCATCTAGTGCTACAGCCAGGATCAGAAGCCGCGGCATGCAAGGTTGAACTCTCACAACAGCTTAAAGACACCTCAAAGACCCTTTGAATAATCGATGTTCTTCTCGAGGTCCTGATCTGGACTTGTCTTATACACAAGTTGCAAAATGGCGTTGACCATTCACGATTTTACCTCTTCGACCGCAAGAGCTGGACTCACCGCGATTGTTGCAGTAAGCATGCCCGAAAACAGCCTCTTCGAACACGCATCGCTGACAGCTCCTGAGATTCTTGGCGTGTGTCTGCTCAAGATCTTGTACAACATTTCTCCTTTCCATCCGCTCGCGAAGTATCCAGGCCCTCTGCATTGGCGAGCCACCAGACTCTTTGCCTCCTACCACCATGCGACAGGCGATCTGTACAAGCACATTACAGCGATCCACGAGAAGTATGGGAGGACAGTCAGAATAGCACCAGACGAGCTCTCCTTTTCGACGCCGGAGGCATGGCCAGCAATTTACAACTCCCGACCGCAACTTGTGAAGACCCGGTACCATTTCGCCACTGACTCGTCGTCGGAGGTGCCCGAGAGCATGATCACAGCAAACGATGCTGAGCACATGAGACTGAGGAGGCTTGCAGGGCCTGCTTTCCTGAATTCTGGGGTCAATGAGGTTGAGCCTGTGCTCCAGCATTATTGCAACCAGTTGTGCGAAGAGCTGAAAGACGCTAGCAGAGAAGGGTCGCAGAACATGGTTGAATGGTTTCTGTGGGCACTCAACGATGTTATTGGACAGCTCGCTCTCGATCAGGAGTTTGAGTGCCTGAAACAGCGACGTATGCACCCTTGGCCGGCGTTCCTGTTGGACTCGCTCAAGCATACCGCGGCCGTGAATCAATTTAGAAGGTTCGGCATATCAATGAAGATGCTTGGACGTATTGTACCGCAAAAGGTTATTGATGCTCGCGACAATTTCCTTGGTACTGCGAAAACCGCCGTGGAGAAACGACTTGCAAAGGAAAGAGATGGAGGTGCAGGAAGCGAAAGCCACTTCGACTTGAAGCGGCCTGACATTGTTGGGTTGATGCTGCGCGAGATGAAGAGCGGCGACAAGTTGACCGATCCCGAGATTCTGGCAAATTCGATCTTAATCGTTGGCGGTGGAGCAGAAACCACGAGTACCTGCCTGAGCGCCACTTTCTATCATCTCTGCAAGACGCCACGCGCTATGCAAAAGCTGAAAGACGAGATTCGATCGACCTTCGCATCGGCTGACGACATTACACTCAAAGCTGTCCAGCAATTACCATATCTGCAAGCGACGATTGACGAGGCTTTACGCATTCAACCTGTAGCAAGCTACATCACTCCCCGAGTCACGCCGAAAGGTGGACATGTCATTGACGGAGAAATGATACCCGGAAACGTAAGCTTCTAACTAGCATCGACGGTTGAAAGAAAGCAAAACTGACGAACTACCAGACCTACGTCTCGATGGGACAGTGGTATATGGGCCGATCGGAAGAGTTATTTGATAACGCAAAAGAGTTCCGGCCCGAGCGTTGGCTGCATTCGGATGTGCAAAAGGCATCAAATCGCCATGTGGATGAGATCTTGAAGCCTTTCTCAATGGGTCCTCGGAATTGTATCGGAAAGCTGTAAGTGGCCGCAAAGCTTCCTCTTCTTCTTTCATGCTGACCGCAGGTATGTAGCCTCGCACTTGCTGAAGCAAGACTCGTGACCGCGAAGCTTTTGTGGCACTTTGACATGGAGTTGGATGGAGATCACGCCACTTGGGTGGACGATGCTCGGTTCTACGTAAGTTTTGCGCAACTGCCAATGTTTCGCGCTTCTTCGCCTGATGCTAACGTGTATGCGCATAGATTTTGTGGCAGCTGCAACCGTTGAAGATTAAGTTGACGCCTGTACGGTAAGGTAAAATCTGCAGTCATCGATACTATTTTGACCTGCATTTGTTCCAATGTTTGACATTCCCTGCCTGGCCCGTGAAGTATCACCTTACGCTTTCATCAGAAGGTTTTACTGCTGCACACTCGAGATCTCACGCATGCCGGAGTTAATTGGTTCAAGAATCTGAATCGAATCCTCCTCCCCTTGTCTCACAATGACCCTCAATCGGTCCTTCCCTTTTCAGGGTTGGAATTAGCCGACCTGATATGTATAAGTTTTACATCCCCTTAATTCGACGAACATTCTCGTCCCCACGGAATAGTGCAGCTAAGCAAACCTAAGAAAAACGGCCGATTCTGTGAGGACTTTCTCATCCATGATACACTTATTCTGGATATCAACACTGTTGGGATGAGGGCAACTCTCAGATCTTTGCTCTGGAGATGTTGTGATCGTGACTGAGTAGGTCGTGGGTATAGGGAACAATTGAAGATGTCCATCGTTCTATACACTCCGAGGAGTCCGCAGGCTTGAAACAGCAAGTACAGGTTGTAAGCTGGAAGACTGATATGAGAAGAAAGGACTGCATTGCTACCTCTATATCTCTTGAAGAGGTGCTGTCCTTCTATGCATACTTGTGTCGATGTCCTCCTGGTCCGACAATCTATGTCTCCCTCGCAAGTTTCCCCGCTACAATGTACATTTGGATGGCGGTGGTTGGGAGTTTGCAAGGCTTTAATTTGTCTGGCCTATTCTGCTGATTACCTAAACCTTGACCACACGTTCATCTCTCGAGCCAGACCTCTGCTGGCTCCAAGATTGCATGCTGCTACTTTTGCTTTGCTGTCGAAAGTCCATGTGGTCCTCGTGTAGCAAGTCAAGCTGGATAGAGGCAGCCTCTCTTTCAAGGCTTGCTTCTTGGCTTCTCGCAGCCGTCTTCCACCATATGCTGCTCCTTCGAGCATGCCCTTTGTGGCTGTAGCGGTAGTAAAGGCTCCTAGTCGTTTTCTTGCTTTGAACCCCCTTTGAAGACCGTGATCAACATTGATCGAGGTATTGGTTGATACGGTCCAGGCGATTCCAGTGAGATCATGACCACGCTTCGTACGACGTCTTGGAACGTCAACTGCAGAACGTGCTACTTTGCTTGTCCCTCACTCTTTCCTTACTCCCACCCAACACATCTCCTCATCGTCTCTCACCATCTCCGCCACGACCTTCGCAAGCAACCACTGATCTCCATCCCTCCGAATCGCACCTTCCGGTTCAAACCCAAACTCATAGCACGGCGTCTCCAACGTCCTCGACATCCTAGAATACGACCACCTGCAAGCCGGGAAGTTTTGAGACATCACCGGTATCCCGTCTCGAATCTTGAAATAAACATGAAAAGGCAAAGACTCCATCGCATCATGATCAAGCAGCCACTCAACCTCGTATGAGAAATGCTTCCATCTCAGATCGTGGAGCGGCAGATCGGTGATCAAATTGAAATGATCGTAATCCTGTACCCATTGCACGTACATTCGTCGAATCGTCGAAATCTGTTGATCCGAGAGACATTTCAGCCATTTCATCAGTCCTTCGATGCCGTCGGTCGAACTGTCGGAGAAGAAGTGATTGCTTTGATAGAAAGTTTTCGTTCCTTCTGTTCGTAAGAAACGGCAGGTTCGAGTGATTGCTGGTTGGACCAAGGCCCAGGTACGCTTTTTGTATGGTCGGCCGGAAAGTGCGCGGTGGCGAAGTTCTTCGGCGGAGATGTCTTCGTCTTGTGTGATGGAGGAGTTGACGTGGATTGGGCTTGCCCGGGTACTGTGGACGACGGCGAATTCGAGGATTTTCAATACCAGCTCGTCTGGCAGATCGAGCAAGCGGAAGGGTTTCTGTTCAGATGGTGGAGTGACAGGTGACTCAGGCTCTTTTGGTGCCGTCTCTGGCTTTGGCGTGTCAATGTTGAGATCGCTCAGCATGTAGCCCTTGTGAAGTCTCTTGTGTGCGCGTTTTCGAGCCATCTTTGACGTTGTGAATGCGAGCCGTAACTCTGTGCAGACCGTAAGTCGAGACGCTCGACTTCGGTGCCACGGCCGCGCAGTTAGAAGGTTGATGCAGGAGCTGAGGTTCGCAGCTGAAGCTCGGAGCTCCGCCACTCACGCTTGCGCCGCTGCTGCTGCCTTCAGTCGAGCTTGCCGCTTATCTAAATATTCGAGCAAGGCAATTCTCAAATGAAATGCCATGAAATCATGTGGGAGGTTGGTGCATCTTTGAATGGAATCTGCAGAATACCTGAGGCTACTGATCGTGCCGATATGATTGCTGCGTTTTCTAATTTGCTATGTACATACGCAGCACCATATGAACACATCCCAGCGCTCACGTCCTGCACTTGGCGAACCTCGATCATGTCATGACATACTTCGGACCCTCTCCACCTTGCGGTGTTTGCCAGTTGATGTCCTGATCTGGAACCTTGATGTCGCATGTCTTGCAGTGGACACAGTTCTGGGCGTTGATCTGGAAGCGCACTCCGAGATCCTTCGTTTCGTCTTCAACGTACTCGTACACACCAGCGGGGCAGAACCTGTTCTCCACGCCCTTGTATTTGGGATACTCCATCTGTGCATGCTTGTCCCAGTCTGCCACCTGTAGATGACAAGGTTGATCTTCTTCGTGATTGGTCCCCGTCCGTGACACAGAGGTCAGGATGTCAAACGAAATCTTGCCATCAGGCTTAGGATACTCGATCTTCTTGCACTCATCTGCTGTCTTGGTTGCTGCGTGGTCCGGCTTGCCATGTTTCAATGTCCAAGGAGCTTTGCCGCGAAGGATGTATGCCTCGAGACCAGAGTACATGATGCCGCCGTAGACCCCGAGGGGTGTATGGAAACTGGGTCGCATGTTCCGTACCTGCTTCAATTCCTTCCAGATGGAGCTCTTGCGAAGCTTGTCCTCGTAGTCGAACAGGAACACGGCACCCTCAGAATCCTTGCTTTCTGCCAGCGCGGAGTATGCTGCTTCGGCAGCGAGCATACCAGATCGCATCGCAGTGTGTGTACCTTTGATCTTGGGAACGTTTAGAAAACCAGCTGTATCTCCGATGAGAGCTCCGCCTGGAAATGCGCACTTTGGTATGCTCTGGAAGCCACCTTCGTTGAGTGTTCGTGCTGCGTACGAGATGCATTTCCCGCCCTCAAGGTAATGTCTGTAGGATGGATGCTGCTTCATCTTTTGGAATTCGCCATAAGGCGCCAACCACGGATTCGGGTAATCCAAGCCAACCACGAGTCCAATGGAGACCATGTTTTCGCCAAAGTGGTACATCCAGCCGCCACCATATGTATCTGAAGGTAATGGATAGCCCATGGAGTGTGCAACGAGGCCTTTGTCAAACTTGTCTGGGTCAATTTCCCATACCTCCTTGATGCCAAGTCCGTAGGTCTGTGGTGCGCTGTCCTTCCGCAGGTCGTACTTCTTGATCACCTTCTTTGTTAAGCTTCCATGGCAACCTTCGGCCAACAGTGTACATCGCGCATGGAACTCCATTCCTCGCTCAAAAGAGTCCTTTGGTTTGCCATCCCGTCCAATTCCAAGATCGTTGGTCGCCACTCCCCGAACGGCTCCTTCCTTGGTGTACAGTATCTCTGAGGCCGCGAATCCGGGGAATATCTCAACACCGATCTCTTCTGCTCTCTCTCCCAGCCATTTGGTAAGCTCGTTTAGACTTATTATGTAGTTGCCATGGTTGTTCATCTGGGGAGGCGGAGGCATCCAGAAGCTCCCTTTTTGGGTCAGAAATCTCAATTTATCCTTGGTGGCAGGTGTGAAATTCTCAAAGCGGTTCGGGTTATCCTCCGACTTCCAATCTGGTAAGAGGTCATTGAGGGCAGAAGGCTCAATCACGTTCCCAGATACGATGTGGTCTCCAATGTCTCCGGCCTTCTCCAGAAGGAGGACGCGGAAGTCCTCATTCCCGGCATCGTTGGCCAACTGCTTGAGGCGAATGGCAGCACTCAGGCCAGCTGGACCTCCACCAACAATGCATATATCGACCTGATCCGATTCTCTTTCTGCGTTGAGCGGGTTTGAATAGTCGTCATCTACCGAAGCGAATCGTCGTCGGGCGGTATTTGTAATTGTTCTTCGTTGTCCGGCCGTGACGATCGCAGGCCGGTAACCTTTCGAAACACATCTCCGTGCAGCGATGCTGGTGATCGTCGTAGAACATGGCGCTATTCTTGGTACTGCTGCAGGAGGCTGTATTAAACGCTGTCGAGCTGCGGCGCAGAAGATCCTTGGTGCAGCCATTGCTGGCAGATGTGATGGCCACTCGAAATGGCAGGGCGAAACAGTGCAGGAGACAAAGAGATTCACATGAGGATCTTGCTGCTCCTTACCACTCAAGCCCCAGAGCCGCTGCTGGCCCTCCGCCTCGGGTTTGGCACGGCGGTTTCTAGGACCGAGGGAGGGAAGGTGATCTCATGGACGCAGGCTACGACTTGTGCGATGCAGGCTACGTGGATATCGAAAAGCGAGAAATTCATGGGAGGAGGCTGGCCATCTGGGCGGTGACGCATGTCTCAGAAATTGCGCATAGGCAGATCGTTAATCGTGAGGCGGAGAGCATGGAGTCGCGCCAGGAAGATGATGCGGCAATGGCTGTTCGTATGGTATGGCACAATCGAGTCGAATTACCAACCAGATCCTAAGGTGACATCAAGCATGCGACGGTTGGGCACGAGATAAGCTTGTTGTCCCGTGAAGACCCAGCGCCTTGTTGGCGGGACGCTGTCAACAATCTTAAATTGATGTTGTTGTTGCCATATAAAGACCTCTCTCGATCATTCACTTCCACTTTCCGTTGCTGGACATCGGCACAAGTCGCGTCTTGCCAGCGCATTTTGCCCTGCACGACTCTAGCGCCTATCTAATCGGCTTTTCGGGAGCGTTCATTGGCTAGCGCTGTCTTGGCGCGACTGGCGGCAACCGCCTCACTCTGACTTCCCGCACAACTCGCTCGCAACATCAGTGCATTTCCACCTGCGCATCGCATTGCACCGCGACATCATCGAGGTCCGTCGGCGAGCCTCATCATTCTCGCGCCTCACTCCTTTCCATACCACCCAGGATTCCTGCAGGGCTGGCGCTTGGCCTGGAAGACGACCAATTGACCCGCCACACACCTCCGAGCTTGTCGTCGCACGCAGCGCAACCGCACGCATCGCGCAGCTGCCAACACCATGAGCCAGGCAGGAGATCGTGACGGCGCCTCTGGCCCGCCTGCTTCCGTGAGCAACAGTATGACATTCACCTCCACATCTGTCGCGCTTTCCATTCCGGACACATGCTGACTCAATGGCCTCCACAGCGCGCCTCTATCTGGGAAACCTCCCTCGCAATGGTTCGTACTCTTTCCCGTGGCTGCTGGATGGATAAACGCAGGATGGCCTTGTCTGGTTGGACATGCATATGGCCTGGCGCATACATACATACATCAGAAGGATGGATGGAGGACTGGCCACACTTGCCGCTATGTTCCTTGCTTGCACATCTTTCTGTATCGGTGGTGTGGACCTGGAGCCGGAGCTGGCTGGCGCACCAATGGCCCTCTGATGTGTCCTGTCGCTTGAAGCAGACCGACTCCTGACCTGGCAACGCTGACCGGATCGTGCTACAGCTACCAAGGCCGATGTTGAGAACCATTTCAACACCCATGGCACCGGCGAGATCACGGAGATCAAGCTCATGAATGGCTTCGGCTTTATCGAATACAAAGATGCTATGGATGCGCGTGATGTCGTGCCAGGTAAGCTCCACAATTATATGCGCCATCTCACAGCGCTGCCCTCTGAAACAAAATGTTGGATCTGCTAACACGGCCTGTAGCCTTCCGTATGTCAACCTTTCTGCCCTCGTCGCCGCTCAAGCTGGCCCTCGGGCACCGCTCCCTCCCTCCCCTCTCCCTTGTGTTATGCTTTCGACTACTGACATCTATCGCTGGTTAGATGGATCTGAGTTTATGGGCGAGCGCCTCGTCGTTCAATTCGCAAGAGGCTCCACCCGCCCGCGAGAGGGATTCGAGCACCAACCGCGCATGGCTCCTCGACCTCGTCGTACCATCCACAGGATGACCATCACCGGCCTCCCATTCGAGACCAGCTGGCAGGTTAGCAACACCCTTTCGCTTTCTTTCTGGATCTGATCCACTTTCGCGTCCATCTGCTTGGCATTTGTCTTTACGCCTGATGCTTAGGACACCTGACTTACATGTCGTCTGATGTCGGATCCTCCCACGTGATGTCGCAGGATTCCGGCTCGGCTTGCACTGCTCGGCACTGCTTTCGGAACCATTGGCATTGGACTTACACATCGCGCACAGGACCTGAAGGATTTCGCACGTCAGTCCGGACTGGATGTCGTCTACAGCGAGGTCAACCGCGAGCGCGACCCCAGCGGTACCGGCAAAGGGTAAGCTCTCCCATTGTTGCACCGACACTGCACTCCGCTGACGCATTCCAGCTTCGTCGAGTACGAGACTGCCGCCGACCTAGCATCTGCTGTCGAGAAGCTCGACAACTCAGAATTCAAGGGTTCAACGGTCCGCTGCATTTCGGACGTAAGTGGTCTACCTGATATATATGGCTGGATGCCACGGACTCATTTTCATTTCTACCAGCCTCAAACCGACATTCCCCGCCCACGCGAGCGATTCCGATCACGCTCTCCAGGCTTCCGAGGAGGTCGCGGTGGCTACGGCCCTCCACCAGGCGACGATTACTACTACGATCGTCGCGGACCTCCACGCGGGTATAGTCCACGCCGCGATGACTACCGTCGACGCACACCTCCACCACGCGGCTACTACGATGACCCACGCGAAGACCGATACGGTCCTCCACGCGGCGGTCGCCCACCGGTCGACGACTACCCACCTCCCCGAGGCGCATACCCAGATGACCGCTATGGCCCTCCACCACCGCGTAGGGGCGGGTATGAAGCGGAACCATATACAAATGGTCACTCCCGTGAGCCATACGGAGGTCGCCCACCAAGCCCTCGCCGCGACGGCCGAGGCTACGATCGAGGAGGATACGGTGGGGCTGAGCGACCTTACTGGTGAACAATATCATATCCTATGGGGTGATGAATACTAAACGTGAACCAGAACCGGATCGATGCAAGCGTCCTGATTTGTTTCACCACGCCAGTACATACACATACCCATTGTTTCGAAGCGCTACCTAACGCCAGCAAGCATGAAGCTGGGGAGGTAAGACACATTCATCAGACTGCGAACACCACTCACGGATTTCATACTGGACGGGCTTCATGGGATTGGGATTGCGGAGCATGGAAAAGTGGAGGGTATACAGTTTTCAGTACTCATCATTTGCGTTTGACATGATGCAGCGTTTACCCATACGCGCGCGTTGGCTGTTGATGCTGGTGCCTTGGCACTTTCCATTGTAATTATACAGGAAGGCAGAGGGTTTGCATCGAGCGGCCGGCGCAATGTGTGGGTCGTGTACGGTATCAACAGATTGGTGAAACGAAATTCTCAGAACCAAACTCCACGTTCTAGTCAGCCTGGAAGAAATGAATCTTTCACGTTCCTCCAAGTATCGACCCGCATCAACGTGGTTGTTGCCAAGGCGTCACCCTTTCGCGAACCTGCCATCAGTCTTCCTCGCGACTACAGGAGTGAAATAGATGGAACAGTTATAGATCTGAGAATATGTGCGACATAATTCAAAACATGTTCTTCACCATTCGAACGGTATTGAGCAAGGATAGACTAGCACGCAAAGCCTCTATAGGGCACACAATGGTAGCTCAAACATAGGTATTATCTCGAGTACTGAAATTTGCGGAACGGCATTTGCTGTTTTTGAGCAACGCGGCCGTAGTGGAGATTATGCGTTTTATGGTTGATCGTGATCGTTTTATCGAGCTTGCAACGTACTCACTGTTGCAGGCATCACTCTGTAGAGTGGATCTGTAATCGGTATAAAGTGGACAATCGATGTCTATGCTGTGTATGTATTTGACTGAACTGTATTAATTTATTATTTTTTCTTTTTCTTTCTTTTATCGTAGTGTTAACGCATGTTCAGGTTATAACTAGATCCAAAATGACGTTAGGCTTCTTATAATAGCTTTTAAGCACATATATCGTATAGGTAGGCGCTAGAGGCAATCCGGATTTTTAATAATAACTACTCTTTATGCTTAGGTCGTCTGTTACGGAATAAGGAAGTAACGGTCTAGGGGTTAGCTAACTAATAGGGCGACGGCCTATCTTTGTAATTAGCCTTCCTCCTCTATATAATAATAATCTATTATAACTTTATAACAATTAGTAGCTTCGCTCGCACTAAGCCCTCGTACTACTAGGAGTTATTCGAGATACTACTAGGACGAGGCAACTACTAGATCGGGGCTAATCCGACTAAGAGCCTAACTACTTCCTTTTACTACTTTATTACGACCGTATATACGGGGTAACGTATGTCTATATAAACCTTATAGACAACGACCGCGCTTTCGCTATATATACGCGAACTAACCGGATTACTAACGCAGAGGTTAGGTCTTATCTAGGACGCTTTCTATAGGACTTTTAGGCGATAGAGACCTATCCCCCTAAGTAGCTCGACTTACTAGTATACCGACAGCCTATATAGAACTCTTTTCTATAGTTCTATAAAAGAAGATATAAGCTAAATTCTCTATCTGCGACTACTACTATAAGTAGGTCCGGAAGGCACTTACCTACGAAAGGGAAGTTACCTTCTAAGCTAAGGGCAACTACTTCTAGGTCGCTTCTACGGCAATCGCCTAATATAATAATAATAATAGCGACCTCTACTATAAGTATACGACCTTCGACTGCGTCGACGGCTCGACCTATAATAGTAACTATATAGGCAACGAGCGTCTAGCCTCCTACTATAGCGGAATAAGGAGAGGCTATTTCTATAGAAATAATAGCCGCTATTTAGGCGGTAGTAGCACAAGTATTAGCAAGCTAGGCGCCGGGAGCTAGTATAGGCAACGGAAATAGAAATAGTACGCCTATCTTTAACGAGGCAGGCAACCTAGACCGAATACGAAACTAGGAAATTAGTTTCTTCTAGCTAGACCTATCGAAGGGAGACGACGACCCGAGTATCGTAGGATCCGATACCTTCTTCCGAGATATTAACATCTTTATTAAACGACTTAAGGATATTATAGCGTATTATAGCAACAATCGAGTTAAGTCTAGAATCCCTATACTACTACGAGGAACGGCCTTAATTTAGTATACTAATACGCTTAACAACCTAGCGAAATAGGGCCTTCGCTACGCACTAGGTCTAGACTATTAGTTTACGACGCTACGAGAGAATTTCTAGACGCTACTATCTAAGTCGCTAAACGAGCTAACGCGGCTTAAATATACGTTATTAGACGCAAGTAACCGACGTAGTATAGATACCTATCTTAGCGAGGTAATACGCTATATACGTAACGCCGGCCTAGTTAATAAGAGCTAGTAGCTAACGTATATATAGAATAGTATCGACGTAGAGCTGCGACGTAGTATTTAGCTACTAAGAGAAGAGGATACGATTATATTATTTAGATAGAGGCTTAAGGAGGAGCAACTAGCGTAGGTTAAACTAGTACGACGACTAAACCGCCGCAATATAACTACTATTACCGGTTCTTTATTAAGACTATTCCCTACCCGCTTAGCGGGTAAGTAACTATAGCGTAATTAAGACTAGGATTTCCGACTAAGCCGTTAATAGACAGATCGATAGGAAGGCTCTAGGAAGCCTTAGACTAATACCGTACGTTCCTTATAGCCGCCGCCTCGCTATAACTAAGGTCGAAGCGACTAACGCTATCGGAAGCCTTAAGACTGTTACGAATTAGTAAGCGACAAGTCGTAGTTAAAAGGCGCTAAGAAGACCTTCGATAAGGCTAAGCCGTAGCCTATAAAGCCCTTCGCTTAGCGCAAGAAATAAGACTCTTACTAGGTAGACGACGAGCTAGAACAATTAGAGAGCAAGGAATAGAATACTAACTACGTCGACTCTAATAAGTACTTATTTAATAAAAGAGGCGACGATAATGCTAATACGGACGCTAATGCGGTAGATATCTTCGATATAGGATACCTAAGTCTAGAACCTAAGTATACCTATACTATATACTATTAGGAGTTTAAGACGTCTAACCGGCTCTATTCGTATTTACGGACAGAATACCGCAAAGGATAGGGACAAAAATCCTAGCAGCTACTAGATCCGATAAGCTAACGGGTATAACTGCTAGATACGCGACAGTTTTAGCTCAAATAAATAATGTAGAAACAGAGATATGCCTAGATAGCGGTAATCTAATTACCCTTATAGATCGAATACTAGTATAGTAGCGATACCCTAATAGAGTTCTACTAAAGGCAACGCGTCCCCGGCGGATCCGAGGAGTAGGCAATAAGATTACAAGCCTATCTAACAAGATGCCTATTAATATAGTTTTTAATAACAAGGTTACGATATTAATAAGAGTATATTTAATCGATAAGCTACTAGCTAGAGTGCTATTAGGAACGCGCCTAATAGAGAAGGAAAAGTTAGTACTATCTTTTACCGATAGATAGATACATTTCCTAAATAGTACCGTAGTATCGATAAATATTACTTAGAAGGGACGAGCCCGAGTATTACTATACTTTATAGTAACTACCGAGCGAGAGGAAGACGACGAGTCGCTACCGCTAGCGTAACCGGGAGCGAAGGAAAAGCTAGGCCTAATAGGCGCTATACTATATAGCGACGACGAAACGAAGGCTAAATATAACGCCTTGCTAGAAAAACATAAGTAGCTATTTATCGATAACGGCCGTTTTGCGAAAGTTCTAGAAGAGGACTAAATAACTATCCCTTTAGTTAGCGACTAGAAGGCTGCTAGCGCTAAATTAGCGTATAAGGTGTATCCTATAGGCCTAAAGGAACGAGAGATTATCGACGGCGTTTACGACAAGCTATACGACTAAGGACGGATATCCTAGACGAAGGAACTAATACCTTTTAGGTTCCCTACGTTCGTAGTCTAGAAGGAATTAAAGAACGGCCGTAAAGGTAGAGCGGTTATCGACATCCGTAGACTTAACTATATTACGATAACGGACGCCTACCCGATACCGCTATAGAGCGACGTTTTAGCTGCTATCTAAGGCGCTAAATATATCTCTACGATCGATATAAAGTCCTTCTTCTATTAATAGTTAGTAAAAGCGGAAGACCGATATAAGCTATCTATAGTCTCCTATAGAGGCTAGGAAATATATAACGTCGCTATAATAGGCTATAAGAACGCGCCGCCCTACGTATAGCGATAGATCGATAGAATCCTACGAACAGAAGGACTTAACGGGTTCGCTAAGGCTTTTATTAATAATATCGTAATTTATAGCAAGATACTAGAGGAATACCTACGCTATCTTAATTAGGTATTCGATGCCTTAAACCGACACTAGCTAACTATAGCATCTAAAAAGGCTTTTATCGGGTACCTATCGATCTAGCTACTAGGGTAACAAGTCGACGCCTTAGGTACCGTAACGCCGGCCGACAAACTAGCGGCTATTGCTAAGCTTAAGTTCCTACGAACGCTAAAGAACCTAGAGCACTATCTTAGACTAACTAGATAGCTAAGGACGTACATTAAGTACTACGCTTAACTAGCGGAACCGCTTTAGAAGATAAAGACGGAGAGGCTTAAGAGAGCGCCCGCGGCCGGCTAGGTACGTTAATATTATATAATAACGATACTAATCGAGGAAACGGAGGAACGACTAGCTGCGTTTTAAGCCCTATAAGAGGCCTTTACTAAGCTAACGATGCTCTATTATTTCGCAAGAAACTGGCCGCTATATATCTATATCGACGTATCTAAGAAACGAGGCTTCGGCGTAATAGTAGCCTACGTCGAGGGCGACGCTATTACTAAAAACCCTAGTAGGATAAAGACGCAACCGATTTTGTTTTTATTAAAAACTCTTTCTAGTACAGAGCGACGGTACTAGCTAACTAAATTAGAGGTCGCCTGCCTAGTATAGACGATTAAATGCGTATAATAGATAGTCGAGGTATATAAGTCGGTAGTAACTATACTTACGGATTATATAGCAACGCTAGGAATCGTAAGCTAGACTACCTTAACTTCCTTATTAGTTAATAAGCTTAATAACCGACTAACGAGATCGTCGCAATATTTTTCCCTTTTCCTACTAAAGGTAGTCTATAAGCTAGGGCGAGAATATATCGTACCGGACGCCTTATCGCGCCTAGAAACGATAAATAACTATCTTCCGAAGGGCGACGTGTTCGAGGAACTAGTATATAGAGTAATAATGCTAGAAATAGACGACGCATTTAAGTAATAGCTTATCGAAGTATATAAGGAAGATAAATACTAGAGCAACATTAAAGCAATAGTATAGAACGCGGAACTAGGCTCTACTAGCTTCTTAGTCGATAACGAAGGCCTA